GGTATACCGTATAACATAATAATATATGTACATATTTCAAATATAAGTACCTATAGGTTGATTATCAAGAATCTACTGAAATAATAATAGTATAATAAAATATTTTACAATCGTATTTGCATAAACACAATACAATATAACACATTAGTTTTTATAGAAATAAAAATTATACATTTTGAAACACATATTATTTTTTAGGGCCCCCCCTCAGAAAATTTTTTAAAATCCGCCACTGGTTAATAGTTATTATTAAAATATATCATTATTCAATATTCATTAAAAATTTAAGAGGACGACACTATATATAGGTACCCATGCCGAGGCACTGTAAATAATATTTAGCCTTATCTATGCGTTATTTTCTCCGTCTTATAAACATATTAAAACACACGACCATAGGAGCAGTTTCAATCAATAAAACTTAAGGTGCTAAGCTATGCATTTTCTCATTTTAGTTTTTTTTTCGTTAAGAAGTTTTTGTAACATAAACACGACCATTACTTGAAGGTACTAATTTTAAAATTGGGGGTGCTCGGGTGCTATACGTACCTACAACATAAAATTTTAGTTCAATAATTAATTTTGATATTATAATAGTGAATTAATAAACCTATATTATCAAACTGTTGGGTAAACACATTATCTGTGCTCAAGCGTCACTTATTTTATTCGGTATTTTATTTTTCAAGCGAAATACATATTATGGTCGTAGGTATATGTGGAATATCACAAATTAAAAGTCCTTAAATCTCGCTTGAAAATTAAAATATCGAATAACTGGCAGAGGCTAAGCACAGATAATGTTCTCACCTAAAAGTTTGATAATAATTGGTTAATTCAATTAACATCACACTATGACTATTGAAACTGGCGAACGAAAATTTACAATTTCGTACGAGTGTAAGACGGAGATACCGAGCGCATGATGGCTGTAGCTGTGTAGCGTCCACTTATAAGGTCAAATGATAATATAGGTAGAATTTATAATTTGTTATTGGACACCGTAAATCATATATTAGGTGTAGGCAAAGGTATCTATATTATAAGATGTCAGATGTATTAATAATATTTTGTACCCTGCAGTGGCGTCCTTCAGTGGCGCCGATCTGTACCTATATTATGTAAAAATATTGCGGACGCCATACGCCAATACCTAGTTTGGGTGGGTAGTAACGAGTTGAACACTGTACCTATACAAAGCCCGTAGGATGTTCAAGTTATACAGCGATTTGGATACAAGTACCCACTTGAAATTTGTTCAGCATTTTGGTGAGACAAGCTGACTGTTTCATAAGCAGTTATAACTAAAGAGTTGATTGTTTGTCTGTTAATACATTTAAGATGACATTATTTTTCCGACTTCTCAACAACATAATTTGTTAATTACACACACACAAGTAACCAATTATATAGTATAGTATAGTATCCACTACTTTCGGTATGTGTAAGGTTACTGCTGTTGTCTGTTATACATACGACACATGACTGAAATTAAATATTATTATAAACCACTTATTTGTAATTGTTCAAGGTAATACATAAACATAATGGAGATTGGAAGTGTTATAATTTTATATTCAAACATAATACATTATACATGGGGAGGAGGCTTTATAGTCTCCGTTCTATAAATCTTCATATTCATTTTATCAATTATCATAATATGTATATGGTTATGGTAACATATTTCATATATTATATGATAAACATATTATACAGCTAATACTTTATATTTGAAAAAAATTGTAGCATGGTTATAGATTTTTATTCTAATTGCGCTTTTTAAACGTATTAACATCTTTGCACCCCCTCACCACCAAAAAAAAAGATTGTGTGTAAAAAAAAAATTGGCCTAGAGTGAGTAAATTTGATGTCACGAAATAATGTAACGGAAGTTGTCCGCGCAATCATTTAACTCAGTAGCCGAAATATATGTAGCCATTGTGATATGGCGTGTGTACTGTAAATATCACATAATATTTTCTTAGTAAAAAAGTAATTATTGTTATTTATCATAAAACGTTTAAATATTATTATTATGTACATTTCATAAATTATAATATTTGTTATTTACTCCATACATAAGTTAACCTACATTTTATTAACAAATGCAAGTCGTTGGACAAATATAAACACTTAAACATTGAGTGTCAAATACAAAATCTGACACACGCCTGGTTGTAAATGTAGTTATTGATATTCAGTAATACTGCAATGATATTCCTATAATTTCAATCAATTTTAAATTGGACATGAGAAATTTGATAAAACTAGAAAAACCAACATAATAAATATTAATTAGTGAACATAGCATCTTTTTTTTAAAAGAGAGCTACAGTTAGAACAAAGCAAAATATAAAATTTTGAGATTTTACAAATATTTATTGATTGAATAATTAATATTTAAAAATCGTTGACAAGAAGAATAAGGAAAACGTGAAAAATTATAGTAATATAATAAATGTATAATACATTTAAATAATTACTTTAATATTTATTAATACAATTTTATGAGTAGAAAAAGACTAATATACATATTAGAACAGATCTAAATCATAGATATAGTTTTTTTCCAATTCTAAAGTATTTAGTTAAAATCTATTTTTAACTTCTAGCAATATTTATTTACTTGTTGAAATAATTGATATATTATATCATATATATTGATAGATATATTATAAATTTATAACTAATAAATTATAAGTAAGGAATAAGGAAGAAGTTAAATCAGTTAACTATTTAAATAAAAATAAGAGAATTATATTGTAATACAAATTTCAACAATTAATAAACAATGAAAAGTGAAATATAAARTATACAAATATATAGAAATTAAAAATGATAAGACTAAAATGTACAAAGCTTCACTAAAAGAAAGATGTAAATATTTAGCCAAAAACTATTTAATGTACATTATTATAAAATAATTACTTAAATTTCATTATCAGCTACTCGATATTATATTGTTTGAATATTAAAATTTATTTAAAAAAACTCTAAAATTTTTAATTGAAATACTATACTACACTACACAATACATATTCATAATATGAATTATATAGGTATTATATTATATTCAGATCTTACTGATCACAGCATACCACAGTATTAATAATATTATAATTTACAACAAGATTAAACTACTGCTCCCATATAAAATATATCTTTATCCAAAGGACAATTTGTAGATGGYCTATTGCTGTTTCTTCTGAATGGATCACAATCAACCAATGCTAATGATTTGTCGAAACATAAACGCACTTCATCAATATAAGGTTTGTTGGTGCGCTAAAAAAGAAAATTATTTGAATTATTTTTTATAATGAAAAATGTTAAATATTGGTGATACAAACATTTTCAAAATAACAATCAATATGTGGGTTTTTGCCCAATCCAGTTCTTAAGGTATGCCAAATTTGATTAACTGGATAACTGCCATTAGGTTTAATGCCTCCCTGTTCCAATAAATCGCTCAGTACATATTTTTTAGACCATTCTAACCCTTGATTAAAATATTTTAATTCTGAATTTAAAGCTGATAGTGATATAGCACATGTTCCATGTTTCATCCATTCATGCCTCCAAAGTTCGCCTTCTTGTTTCCTCGTCCATGTCTTTGACCCTTTTATTTCTGTCCAACGATTTTTTAATTCAGGAATAATCGTATTTAAAGAATTTAAACTAAATGTTGTTTGGTTGTTGCAAAAAGATGGACCAAATGCACCAATTTTTGATGGCCTACAATAATACGAAAACAAAATAATAAGAAAAACATATTGTATTTTTAGTTAAATAGATGTATCATTTAAATACCAAATTCCATGTATTGTCCATTGATTGCGATTGGCTGGTAAGTTGCAAGTGTGAGTATTTGAATTAACAGTCCAAGTGTGACAAAAAGTATAAGGCCATGACTGAGAAAACACCAATATATCCCATTCTTTGCTGAATTCATATAATAAAAAATATGAATATACATGATATTTTTTTAAATCAATAAAATTGATCTCTACCAATAGCCTTAATGATTATAATATAATATGAACAAACACTAGAGAAAACAAAAGAAAACATAAAACAAAACAAAAGTTCTGAGAAAAGAGATTCTGTCAAATTGAAAGTAGTAGTAATATACACAATGGCAGAAAAATTTGATATGCTTCATAAAAGAATAAATAAGTTTGTCTCAACAAATATGCGATATCTTTGAAACTTAAATATATAAATTTGAGCGATTGTAACTATACTATACATCTYACATCAATATATAGTATACAGTAGTAAGCCGAAAGACTAAATTTTGATGCGGATGCATCAAATTTTTAATAGGGTGATGGCAGTGGTGCCGACGCTAAGTTCTGATCATAACCTAATCTCTTTCAGCAAAATTTTATTTACTTCATACATAACTTTTATTAAGTGGCTAAGTAAATAAAGTGTGTTATAGTGTTCATTGAGATGTAAAAGGTAAATACTTCAATATGAAATTGGATAATTTATAATCTAAAATTACTTTTTTAAATCATTCATTTAGGTAAATTTATATCATTACTAAGTGTATATACTCAATTGTGTAACATAAGGGTGCCCGACTATGGCCCAAGATTATATTTTATTAACGGTGAATGTATTAAATTAAAATTGAAAAAAAAATAAATTCATATTTATCTAAAAATAATAAATATTGACAGATAGTAAGTGTATATATGCAAAATAAAATATAAATTAATATTTTTTCTATTCCTACTGCTAATTAGTTATTMCCAATTACTAACGTAAATCAAATACAAAAATATGGCGTAGCATTCTTGTAATTATTTACATTTCGCAGGAACATTAAGATTAAAATTCCATCACCAATATTAAATTAGTTTATTGATTAAAGGACAATTTAAAAATTCTTGGTCCTCTAAGAATTTTTTACTATTACACTTGATAAAAAAAAATTAGGCATTTCTGGTGTAACACACAAATTGTATAGTAGGTAGATTTTAAAAATATGGGATATATACCTTAAATAGATAATAAAATAATATAACAACCTTATTCATTAAGGTATTAAAATTGTACATACTAAATGAGTTATTAGAAATTCGGAATTAGAAAAAGCAAACAGAAACCCCAAAATGTGTTGGAAATTAATTAATAATYTTATAGGTAAATTCAAAAATCAAATTTATATAACAACTACTATACTACATAACGGTACTGAATTAAATATAAAGGAAAATGGAAAAATTATCACAAATAAATGTAATGACTTCTTTATCAATGTAGCCTCAGATCTTCTCACTAAACTAAAAAATCAACAAAATGTAACCACTGTTTTAGATAATAACATCCCTAATAAACAAATTATTGATCAATTTATCCCTACCAATGAACGTGAAATAATAAATCAAATCTCAAAACTAAAAAATAGTTCTTCTCCTGGTTTAGATGGTATTACAGTCAAATTATTAAAAGAGAATAAAATTGCATTAACCTCCCCCTTAAAGCATATTTTCAATCTWAGTCTTTCAAAGGCAACAGTGCCAGATTGTTTCAAATTTTCCATAGTCACACCAATTTTCAAAAAAGGCAAAACAAATTTAATCAATAACTATCGACCAATCTCAATGATTTCAAGTATTGCAAAAATATTTGAAAAAATTATTAAAGATAGATTTGTTACATTTCTGGAAACTAACAGCATTATACATCAATCTCAATATGGTTTCCAAAAAGGTAAAAGCACAGATCAAGCCATCGCTAAAGTGACTGAATTTATCTATAAATCTTTAGATGAAAGTAAAAAATGTGCTACGGTCTATTTAGACCTAGCTAAGGCATTTGACACTATTGATCATAACATACTATTACACAAGATAGAACAATTAGGATTAAGAAATAAAGCGTTACAGCTATTTTGCTCATACTTAAGTGATAGAAAACAATGTGTTAAAATAAATGATGTTATCAGTTCTCTAAATATTGTAAAATGTGGTGTACCACAAGGAACAGTCATCTCCCCCATACTTTTCAACATACAGCTAAATTATATTCACTCACTCCCCTTAAAAAGCCAACTTATTTGTTATGCAGATGATACAGTTATGCTATGTACAGGTGACTCGTGGGATAAGATATTTAACATAATAAAATCCGACTTAAAATTAATAAAAAAATGGTTGAATGATAATAATTTATTTCTAAATTTAGAAAAAACATGTGTTGTCCCTCACACCTTAATTGAGAATTCATTACCTGCTAAAACAAAAATAAAAATTCATAATGACCTCTGCACACAATTAGACAATAATTGCTGTTGTGAATCAATAAATATTGAATATAACTTTAAATACTTAGGGGTATCGAAATCAGTAGCAATRTGAAATGGAAGAACCAAATCGATAATTTAAGAAAACAACTTCGAAAAATGATGTATATATTAAGAAATTTAAATAAAGTTCTAGAATTACCAAAAATATGTCAAGTTTATTTTGCGTTGGTTGAATCGATTATCTCATATGGTATAATAGGCTGGGGTGGCGCTTTCGAAAATAYCATAGGTCCCCTACAAATCTGCCAAAATCAAATTATTAGAATATTGCTCAATAAAGACCGTATGTATCCAACAAAAAGCATATATACTGAATTAAACATACTTCCTATTAAAAAAATATATATAAAAGTAATTGCTATATTCATAAAAAATCATAGTTTATTGCAATCAATAACGCAYRKAGTCAACACGAGATACGCAAAAAACCATTTTTACATAAAAAAAACTAAAAAAACCACTACAAGCAGACATTTTGAAACAATTGGCACCAAACTATTCAAAAAAATGCCATTTTATATAACAAACCTCCCTATAAATTTATTTAAAAGAAGTATTCTGCAGTGGCTATTGGATTCTCCCTATGAATTGAATTTATAACACTATAATTCTAATACTATAACTCAAATTGTATACACCTTAAATCTTCATACGCTTATTTCTTTTTGTAATTTTGTTATTAACTATATATTTGTAATTTATATCTAATTATGTTTTTTTTTTTTTTTTTTGAATTCCTGGGCCCCCACACGAGTCATCTCAGTGGGGCCCAGTATTCATATGTATATATGAAATAAAATAAAATAAATAAATAAATATCCTATCACAGAAAGTTCTACTAGTACAACCAGTAGCAAGCCATACTGTTTTTTTGTTTAAAATGGTTACCTAATTCTTTTGTTCATCATTTAAGGACAGATTTGTATTCAAATAAATATTTGAATGTAGATTGAATATTAAAAAAATTAATACAGTTGAGTGTGTTACATAACATTTAAAATAAATTATGACTTTATTTTATTTTAAATAGTTTAGCAATAACACCTTATTCTATTCATTGTTCTGAAAATTAAGATCTCATCTTTAGTCCATATTTTAAAAACAGAATTTAGGTGACCCTTCAATTTATATTGGTAACAATCTCTTTCGAAGAGATTCCAAAAATTATGGTATATTTTTATAAAAATCAAATATTTCAAAATGTATGTTTTAAATTGTTTTTTATGAAAATGACTGAAATTTCAAATAAAATATTTTATTGTTTTAAGCAGTTTTTTGAGTAAAATTGGTTATAAAAATTAAATACAAAAATAAAAAATATTCCTAGATTTTTTAAATTGGTATATTACATAAAAATGATTTACATACATTTTTGTTAAATACTAGTAAATACATACAAATTTAAGAAAACTAAGTATACAAATAATTTAACTTCCATACTAAATTAAAATCCTTTTCCTATTCTGTATTTTTCATAATATATGAATATTCAATAGGTAATTATATACTCTGTTCAAGTTAAGAAACATAGTCGGCGGCTGACATAAATGGGGGACATGGCAATACTAAACGGCAGGCCACAAATAATTTACTGGGTGGGGGTTGCTTAACTCTAAATAAACAAAAAACTGACTGTTGCCGACTRCATTTCTTAACTAGAACAGAGTATAGTAAATTATGCGTAATGTTAATCACTCTCAAAATTATATTGAATCATGTTTATAATATATAATACTGTAATAATTATGTTTTAAATACTTGTCCTCTTTGACATTTACATATACGAATAAATAAATAAAATAATTATAATATATTACATAATAATAGTAATTAGTCATTAATTAAATAGTATAGAATTTACAGAAAAATTGAGTTGATTGAATTAAATTTGCAAAATAAAATGACAACTACAAATTATAAGCATTCATTAATTCTTCATACCTTTTTAAAAGCAATTGCAAATTACTGAAGTAAATAGTTTTTAAATTACATGGAGATAAAAATTTACACTACGGTATAAGATATAATAACAGTAATTAGAGTTAAACATATATGCATACTGAATTAAAGAATTAGATACATTTTTAAACAGTAAATATCTTAAAAGATCAACCAGAATCTTTCATGTCAAAAAAAAAAAATCCTGATTATTATATTATACTCACGCAAAAACAAAGAAAGATTACTAACAGGCGACAAGTGTTTAAGATCAATTTTTTTAATGATGCTTAGTTTAAATACTAATACACTAGCCTGTATCAAGATGAGCGAAGCATAGATAGTAATATTTAAATAATATTTTAACCAAAAATATAATGAAAWAGTGCCCAACACCAAGGGATTAAGTACATTGTTTGGCTATATGATAAATATTGAAATAGATTAATCCAATCTATGAATTTAGAAACAAGTACTATGAATATCTGATATTTAGTAATTCTGCAGAGTTCTTAGTACATCTTTTTATTTATTACTGTTATTATGTACCTTTATTATTGTTCCAGAAGTACATAGAAGATATTTAAATCATTTTTATATCAAACATTTCTAGTTTGAAAAAAAAAACAGGATTTTTAGTGTGTTAAATGAAAAATGTATTAAATTAATAACAAATAAATATGTACCGTGGTATATAAGGGTATGAATTTGATCGATTTAAATTTTGTTTAAATGGAGTATCTGTGCGAGGCTGATATGAATGTGATCTGTTAAAATGACGAGGACTTTTAGTTATCCACACATCTGAGTGATCAGATACTTTTCGTTTTAACCTGTACAACAGCTTTGAGTGCCTGTAAACATAGTACTTTGGAAAATTGTTTGGAAATTTTTATTTATCACCATGCGATTAGTAGCATTACAGTATACATAAATTGTGTTAGTTGTATTTATACTAGAATAGATAAAATAAAATAAAGCAAATCATAAGTCTGTTAATATAATTATAATTTACTCATTAACAGTAGAATTAGAGTTTGTAAGAATAGAATCTGTAGAAGTAGAGTTAGAGTTGGTAGAATTAGCATTGGTAGAAATATTCAGTTCTGGAACATGATCCAAGTACAAAATGGGTTTTTTAATATCACAATTAGTTAATGCATGAGATTTCTTCATTTGCCCTTGTCTAGGTTTCATAATGCCATCACAATCAATTAGGTTTAAAGTCTTATCAAAACATATCCTTATTTCAGCCAACATTTGTTCCTTTGTATCCTATAAAATAATTTATCTCATAATTTTAAATTTAATGTTAAAATTATTTGTTGAGATCATTATTTAAAAAAATTATTAGCATGTACTAAAACTATTAACCTACATGTTTAATTGCACATTCAATCCATACATTTGTTTTCAAAWCAGACTTCACGGCCTTCCAATAATCAGCTACGTTTAATGTGCTATTTATTTTTATGTTACTTTTGTCTAAAACGTCTCTCATATTGAATTTCTCAGACCATTCAATTCCTTGATTGAAGTATTTAAATTCTGAGTCTAAGGCTGGTAGTACTACAGCACATGTACCATGTTTTTCCCATTCGTGAAAGTATATACTTTCTTTTTTATGCGCTGTCTCTATGCTCGATGAATTTCTTTCTGTAGTATTTTTAGGTGGAATCTCTATATCTATCCAATATTGGTTTAATTTATCTTTTATAYCATAAATATCCTGAGGATTAAATACCAATGATTTGTTACAAAATTCTGGGCCTATTGTTCCAAGTTTTGTAGGCCTGAAAAAAAATAGACACATAGATTACCTATCGTAATACCTATTATTTACAATAGAAAATTAATATACCTCTAGCAAACTATAAATCAGGGATAAAACTATACAAACCATATGCCATGAACTGTCCAAATATTCTTGTCGGATGGTAAGTTACATGTGTGTGCAGGATTACTACTTTTCCACGTATAACATAATGTGTTTGGCCACGTTTGTGTGAATATAAGTATGTCCCAACTATTAGGATCTTTGGTAGGGCGCGCACTTTTCATAGTCAAACTGTAAGATAAACAAGATTGTTTTATCGTGTATATAATATTACTGTTGTACATTTACGAAGAGTATATAATAATTTAATTACTATAAAAATATTCAATAATTACCCCAAATACAATGTACCAAGACCAAATGTCACTATTACTGCTGACAGCAGCGCTGTCCTATTGCTCATTCCCATTTTGAGACGCTAAAATAAATTGAAAATATAAAATTAGGTAGGTAGTTTTCATATTTTGATAATTTAAATTTTACAGTTTTTAAATCCGTAACATATGTATTTTAAATATCTCGTTTTTCGATGTTTCATAGAAATTGGAAATACCTAATAATGATACTTTTTAAGCTTACATGCTCACTCTTTAAACAGAAGAAATCGTTGAAAAATACCAATAGAACGAATAACAATTAATCAATTAAATGAAAGTATAGGACCTTCGTTTGCWAAAATATTGTAAGTCGACACGCAATAATGACTGGGAAATGAAAAAAAATAAAATACATTATTACGTATAATGGAGAACTCAGCTCACCTGTTTTAGCCCTCACTCGACACTCGGAAATCGAATGCTCAATGGCAAGAATATTAAATAATTATCATTCAACTGTGTTCAGCACGGAACTGCGAATTGAAATGACGAGACAAACGGACGACGACGGGCATAGACAAGTATACTAATACTAAATATATACGGGTGAGCAAAAAACTGGAAACAAACACACTACACAGTACACACACTGTCCGTATTCCGTACGAATGTTCAATGTACCATGTACGATTCAGTCACGACTCACGACTCACGGCTTCACATTCGCTGATGAATGACGTCACTCACAATCAAGATCGTCAGATCGCGAAACGAATGGCGAATATTACGAGTTTTTAGCGAACTACCGGCTGTTCAGTACAGCACTAGTGCACTACAGCCTGCGATTACGAACAAGATTGTATGTCTATATGACGATTGACGATTACACTACTACAGTGATGCATACAGTCGTGCAATATAGTGCACTACTATTATTGCAATAACACTCTGACAATTTTGCAGTGCGGCGTGTTGTTGCTGCACGAAATAACATGTAAAAATGCCAAATTAAATGGGCAACAGACACTGTCTGGACTGGTCTGGACGTCTGGTACTTGTCTGGTCTGCAGCAAGCTGTACTAACTTTACTGTTCACACTTTCACTGGACGTTCAGGTGCAAAATAATATTGTACAGCTGCGGGTCAGCAGCAGCCTGCTCCACCATGCAGAATGTTACCAGCTTACAACCGGTATTTTGAACCGTGGTTACTATTCCATTACGCGACCATGTAATATCATAGACATATATAATCACAGAATTGACGAAATTTCATTTATTCCGTGGAGTGTGAGTAGTGTGACTCACAGTCTGTGATATAAATTGAAAATTCATATATTATTGTTGGCATAATAATTCTAGTTTAGCTCCCAAGCGATTTTTTGAAATTTTTTTTTGCAAAATGTGTGTTTTTATATGCTTTTCGTAATGACACTTTAAAATAAAGTCGCTTAAACTTCTAATGGAAGTTATGTTCAAAAAACTTYAAAATACTAGATTTTTCATAAAATCGTGTTTTTGAATTAATAATACCAACACATTGTATTTTTGGAATTTTTTTTTTGTATTGTTAGTATATGTATGCTTCATGTTTTGGTAAAATCAAAATTGATCCATCGTACTTACATTTTATGTTAAACTTAAAAATGCTAAATTTTTCCAAAAATCTTATTTTTGAGGTAAAAATATCAATACCTAAACATTTTGGAAATTTTTATTTTTTATTCGGTGTGTAATGACATTAAGAAGTTTTTAGTGGAGTGAGCGGGTGGCAATCGAGGCAGTTGCTTCGAGCCCCGCGATTTTAAAATTATAATTAAGGCCCCGCAGTTCTTAAATTATATTTTATACTGTTCAGAGATTAGTTRGTTTGGATAATATGTAACGTTATTTATTTTGCCCGGGGAGTGAGGGGACCCGCAAATCCCAGCGCCATTCCTGTACATAATATATATGCTTGTAACTCCCCTTTAACTCCTTTAAGCATAGGCTTGTTTTACGCGGGGAATGTTATGCATTCAAAATTATATATAATTTTAATGTTGGTTGTATATTTTATAGTGAATAACAGTGGTTGACTTGGAAATAAAGTAGTAGAGGTACTCTAGCTACTTTTAAAATGTAGCGTCCCTAGCATTTTAATAAAACTTACATAATCATGGCGGTGGGGGGGGTTAAAAGCTTACATAACAAGCCGTCCCAAACGTTCCCCTTTAAAAAAGAAGTAGGGGTACGCTAGCGTATCCAAAAAATTAGTTGAGGTACTCAGTCCCCCCCCCCAAGTCAACCACTGGACTGAATATTAATATTCCCATTATTATACGTTATAGAGTTTGACTTAATACATTTAATTCATTGAGAAAAGGAATTTATTTTAATCATGAACATATTAACACTAAGGAGTGTCCTGTGGGCTGTGGCAATGCAAACTTTTGTTTTTCAAACGAGAACCACCCCCCTTTTTTTGCTGTAAATGCAGATAATTTTTTTGAAATTTTTGATGTATTGAAATCAAAATTCTAATGAGTAATTCTTGAGTTCCTTAACTTTCCATTATTTAGTCTTTAATGCTATTATTATTTGAGTGTTTAATAATAATAATTGGATATCAATTTTTTTGTAATTAGCAATTTAAATACTTTTAAAAATTGTTCTTTTTTCCTTGGTATTTTTTACCGATTACCACCGCAAGTAGCAAATTAACAGCCAGGAATTTTGTAGAAGAGGGGACTATATTGCAATAAGGTTTTTTATTAAATCATTTTTTTTTTTAAATTATAATCTTATAATATAGGCTAAAATAAACACGGTCAATAGGGAGGAGCATAGCCCCCTTAACCCCCTCCCACCAGCTGTGTTATTGATACTAATGTGGATATAATATAATATCCACTTGATAGGACGTRTCTGGTGTACACCAAATACGTTTAGTGGCAATATTATTTGGAAATATGTTTACTTAATTTTTAAACTTTTTAGTTACAGGATCGAACATTTCAATATCTATGGTTTTTCGTTATTGAATATTATTACAATAAAATT